ATGAAAAATACTTCAATTTTTACAGCTTAGAGTATAAAGGGAGGCTTCAGATGTTCCTCCGGGATAAGCATAAAGAAAGATTGCTAGGAGTACTTGCCTTTGTTGGACCTTTCAGAATATTAGGAAGAAGGTAGCAGTCCTGCATAGAATGGGCTTCTCTACTTGCTTGGAGAAACAGCATGTGTTCCCCTGTAACAAATACTCTCTCACTCCCAGCAGCTGCAGAGGAAGGCAGAGCTCTGCATTTGCACCTTCCCTGCCTTCCTACAAAGGGCCTTAGCATTACTGCTCTTGCAGACCTTATCGCTCTCTACGACTACCTGAAAGGACGTTGTAGCGAGGTGGGGGTCGGTCTCTTCTCCCAAGTAGCAAATGATAGGATGAGAGGACACGGCTTCAAGTTGCACCAGGAGAGGTTTAGATTGGATATTAGGAAAAACTTCTTCACCAAAAGGGCAGTCAGGCGTTGGAACAGGCTGCCCAGGGAAGTGGTTGAGTCTCCATCCCTGGAGGTATTTAAAAGATGTGTAGATGTGGTGCTTAGGGACATGGTTTAGTGGTGGACTTGGCAGTGCCAGGTTAACGGTTGGACGCGATGATTTTAAGGGTCATTTCCAACCTAAACGATTCTATGATTGCTACCCATGCTGTAGTTTCCTCACTCAGCTGTACAAGCAGTCTGGTGTCAGCTGTGCTCTGCAATGTGAGACTTCCTTGAGCCTATTCCTTGCCTTGCCTATGTGGTCTGCTAAGTGCAGGAGTAGCAGCTGTACAAAACCTAAGGGCAGGCATTAATAAACATATGAGGTGTGCTTTCCTTCTTGGGGAGAGGGGACGTGGTAACTTGCTCCAGTGAGAATGTCAGACGTGCTTGGGCAGTTTTTAGAAAGAACAGCTGTAAATGCCAGAACTCTTCCTGGCATTTCCTTTGGACAGTATATCATTCTCAGGAAGGGATTATACAGTTGGCATAGGCACTACGGAGACAAACCATTAATGTCACTGCACAACTATCTTAATTGAGGGCCAGCCACACCTGACAAAGCTGTGGAACCCACAAGATAGATCTTCTTGAGTCATCCCCACAAGGAACATATGCCAGTATGTATGTATCCCATGCTTACAAGGTGAAAGTGGAGTATTCAGCCCTGTTGCTGGGGAAAGGAGGAAAAGCAGGAAAAAGGACAACATCTGTATTCCAACATTTGCCCTCCAAGCTAGCGGAAGGCCAAAGAAACGTTATTCTTCAGTGTATCAAGAGATATGGAAAACCACAGGGTAATAGCACTTCAGCATTTGTTGCATCGTGTTTGTGGAGGCTTTAAGAGCAGCAAAATGGAGGCACAGATGCCTTCTGTTCCAAATCACATGCAGTAGCTGCTCCCTTGAAAAGCAAAGGACACATGCAGCAATTGCTACTAAATGAAAAACAGTGGTTGGACTTCAGGTGAATGAACAAGTTGTAAGTAGGCTTCATGTTAACTGCACGCAGTGTGTACCTTGTACACACACATATTACAGAACAGGCTGTGTCCTTTGGATGTGCATCACGGGAGCGGCACACAGATGTGGCATACGGCTTACTGCATGTACACATTTTTCTTTATAGTGTGTGCATTCTGTACTCGTTTATTATGATGAGTGTCAAACATAAACAGGGCTGGAAAATTCTCTACGGTTGCCTAGCCTTTTCCATGTGAGACCTTACTTTAGTTGTTTATAAATTTGGAAGCCCTTGGCTGTTTTCATAGACATTTTCTGTCTTAGGTTCATTTTGGGGTAAGAGAAGGAGAGAGGACAGGGGGAAAGAACATAAGCTAGAACAATTGAGTCATGTCTGGAAATGAGTCTTGCAGAAGAGACAGAGTATCCCACACACACATTTTTTGCAACCTTTCCTTTAAAAGACGAGGACACCTTAAGCTCTGGAGCCCTGGGTTTCTTACTTGGGGGAAGACAACGATTTCATGTGCATTTTGCTCAACTTATGAAAAGCAGCCCCAAATGTAACCCAGTTCTGTTAGCCTTTGTGAGGGGGAAAAAAAAAAAAGTCATTGTCTATGCTCTGTTAAGATCTGCTAGTGCTTTAAATTCTTCAAAGTTTTGTCTTTTTTTAAAGTAGATTTGACCTGCAGCTGCCAGTCTGGACCGTATGCTGTCTGGTCTCAGCACAGCAGATGGAAGCAGGGAGCCTTGCCTTTTCCTCCCTTGTCAGTTCAGAAAACGTCCATCTCAATCAGGTTGCTGGATTTGGACCAGAGCAAGATACGTGTTGGTGGGAAGAGTGCAAGTGGGAACGGGTCAAGGAGTTTGAAGCGGGACAGGAAGGTGAAGCAAAATGACACTATATGTTAAGAATGATCACTGGAAACTGAGATAATATAGTCAAGGTCATGGACTTGAAAAATATGGAAAGAAAGATGGTGGAGTTGCTGGATATAGATGGTGGAGTTATTGGGGAGGGAAACAGAATAGCTTGAGTCAGAGGAAAAATAAGAGGGCAGACTGGCACAAAAAGTTAGAGATGCGAGGAATATGAAAGAGGTAACAGACCTGGCAAGCAGCTTTGGCTCTAAGAATGCTAAGATGGTGAGGGGAGGAAAATTAGGACTTGGGACCCTGCAGGTTGAGGGATGTGGTAAGTGGCTCAGTGTAGGAAGGCAGGCAAGGAGCCTGGAGGTGGAGAACGGAGACGGGTGATCAGAAACTGAGGAAGATCACATCCCGATATATGCCTCTGTCTCTAATTCTTCCGGCTTACCCTGCCATCCAGACGTGTGTCCCATCGAGATAACCTCCTTGCGTGAAATGCTGTTTTGTAATGTTTTCCCAGACCACTGGATCTGGAGCATACATGGTGCAGATCATTCCTTGTTCTGACCCTATCTGTACTCCAAGGAGATGCACCAATTTCTACAATTCAAGAAAATACGTACATTTATAGGTGATGGAGAAACTGTTAGTAATAAGGCCAGCCTAGAACAAGCCCTCAGTTTTGCAACTGGAGGGATGACAGAGAAGAGAGCAGTATGTTTCCTAATTTTCCAACAGATTACTTATGATGAGGAAAATATACTTTCATGTTGCTGAGAAATAATCACGCTATTTCAAGAGCTGATTTAAAACTTTCCACTAAGAAGAACAAGAGGCATCAGGCATGATTTCTTGTGAAAAGATCTTTGACTGAGCCTGTGACGGTCAATAATGACAAATGGCCAGCGGAGGATGAAATTCCCAAACAGGCTATGAAGTCCTAGCTCAGCAGAGTCTTGATGTATTGTAGCACTTGCCAGCCAACACATCTTCTTTTACTCTTTGGCAGCCTTACAGAGGGTTTTTTTTTTTGTGTCAATAACATACAATTGCACTCACTTCAAAACCTGACTGTGAGGGTGGTGCTCCGTCAGGCCGCCTGTAGCTCAGGCTGGCGTGCCTGTGGCGTCCGTGGCTTCACAGGGCTTTCTGGACACTTGGGGAAGAGAAGCTGTAGCACTGTCGGGATGTGTGTGCTGCTCTTGGCTTTCCAGTACACGGAGGGGCAGGTGTGGCTAGCACTGAGGCACGGGGGAGCGTGGACAGTAAATGGCAGTTAGCGCACAGGATGGGTGGTGTGGGAGGGTTGAATGGCCAATGCTGTGCGTACTGGCCAGCGCTTGGACGTACCTATGGGCCCTGGAAGCGTGCTTGAGGTATTGGGTGCCGTGGGGTTGTGCAGTGAGGGCAGGAGGGAGTCGATGGTGGCAGCCAATGTGACATGTCAGACTGGGCGAAGGGGGTCCATGTATGCGGGCCGTGGGTACGCAGCGTTTGGAACAGGCGTTGGGCCTGGCGTGTGGGAGCAGCGGTACCGGGGGGCCTGTGCCGGGGAGGGGTGGGCGACCTTGGGGCAGCGCCTCTCTGGGTGTCAGCGGGCGCACCAGCGCCGGGGTGAGGGGCACAGCCTCCCCGCG